CCCCCCCCCCCCCGATAATCTTATTTCAATGTTTTAGGGTGGGGAAATTTAGGCATTGAAGTTCTTAAAAGCTCCGTGGGTGAATCTAACACACATATAGAATTGTGGAGCCCTGGGGTTGGGTTTATTTGGAGAGATCCTCTCTGAGACAGGCAAGCTCCAGGAAGATATTTATTTATTCTTTAAAAATTTTCTAACTTTTTTTGGTATCTTATTTTAATATTATTTTAACCCCAATAAGGAAGCTGTATGTAGTTAAATCCTCTATTGTCTCTTAGCAGATCACTATTAAATATAAATGTGATTATGCTTGAAGCATTACCATGAAAAAAGAAATGGGTGATACTACTACTTGACCAAATGAGAAGACTTGGAAATGGGCTGTCCTGCACTGTTGAAGTGCAAGTCTCTTAACTGCCAGTTTATATTTCATCTTAATGAATTACTTCTAATAGAAAATAACAAAATCAACAGGACTATTGATTTATTTAAGCTATGTATCACAATGAAAAAGAATGAAAAGGAAATACAAAAAGTAGAGAAATGACACAATCACTTACTCTTACTGAGGACGGGCTCTGCGATATGAAGAAAGTTCTTGATTAAGTTGTTGTCTTCACTATCCCTAAGTTTACCCACCCCTCCTGCCATTTAATATAAGGAATCTGCAAAGGAAAAACACGAAAATGACTAATTTTACATATGCACCCTATTGCTTTTATTACCAAATAATGACTTATTTTTCCTATATAGTACAAAAATGATGAGCCTAAGATGATATTCAGATTTATATTCAGATTTAAAGATTTTGTTCTTGGGGCAGTCTGATGGTTTCCAGATGGCAAAAGGGTTTTATACTCCTGGCCAATAATTTCAGAAATGACTATTTTCCACTTTCAAATCATTGATATATATAGGCTTATTTAACAATGAGAAAATGAAAAGTTTTTGGCCTAATTTCAAACTTGCTTGAAAAGGATGTCAGAAGATTAGTAGCTAGAATGGAGAGTAAGTGCCTGGAATTCACAGGGCTCAAAACACCCTGTAAGTATTCCTTTGAGGACTTGAGAGAAATATACATCCTCGTGCTATCAAAGGGAATTAATAGTGAATGTTGAAGCCAGTTTCCAGATCAATTATCGTCTATAGATTACCTCCATTAAGACATTTAAATAGAAGACATTAGGGCATTGTACCTCATCTTGGAATGTCCACCCAGTCTCCTAAAAATCTCCTTTAAATCCCACCTTGCTTTATAGCCCAGGTCAAATCTTATCCATCCATGAAATATTTTCTAAATACCTAATTGAATGTGATTGTTTCATTATCAAAGTTTCCATTATATTTTGTTTCAGCCTTATATCCTTTTTAGCATTTTAACTGCTTATATATTTTCTATCTCCTTTATTAGATGGCTTCATAAGGGCAGATGCATTTTCTTACATATCTAAGTATCCCTCATAGTAGCTAGTATCTTACAGTGCTTAATAATTGTCTGCTGAGAAGATGCATATACTAATACTGCCTATTTCTAATTCCAAATAGCTCATTTTTTCTTTGTATTGGAGAATCTGAGAACAAAAACAATGGTTTGCTCAAGTTTGCTATGGTGGCAAGCCATACCTTCAGGCTTTCTTGAAGCTTGACTCCTTATGGGGATAATTTCACCCTAGAGACTTATCTAAGATGTAAATACCAATGATTTATTAACATACCTCCCTATTCCAATAACACCAATAAATCAACATCTCAGAAGTGCTCTTGTATTTCTTTCACAAACAGAAAGTACACTCACTAGACATAGTGAACACTTCCACTTACATATGTCCTAATGTTTTTATTCTATTTTTCTATGTCTTCTACATGTTTATCTGCATCCAAGAAGCTTGTTTTAAACTTTAAGCTCCCTAAGTTGTCCTGGGTAATAGTATATATAAACAGGTACTTAAATACTTTTTGATGATAATGATATTCAGACTTCTAATTCGGTATACATTTCCCATAAGGAAACGGAAAAGAGTGGAGGTGGGGGGATCTGAGGAGTTTAATGAAGCCAATGAATGGATCAATAAATTTCTTAACTTCAAAGCTGGTGAATAATGCCCTTGAGTTAGAGTGGAAAATAAAAAAGGATGCTTTGCATTATCTATTAAATTTGGTAAGGAAAAATGCTAACTACATACAGTGTAAAGATAAATTGTACTTAGAAACCATTTATTCTAACTCTGTCATTTAGGAACTAGAGACCCAGAGAGGGAATATTAAAACCAGGGGATATATTCCGTTAAATATTACAGTTCTGCAGGTTAACATTCTGGAAACTGTGAAATTTTTCTATGGCCAATAGAGGGATCCTCCAGCAAATCATAAGACTGACCTAAATGTTCCTTTAAAAGGCCAGTGTGATTATTACTTCAGTAATTGAGGAGGAGCGCAAATCATTGGACACCAGCCAGGGAGGGCATAAACAACACAGGGGTTTGATTACAGTAGCTGTGCCCCAGACTTTAGCACCATCTCAAGACATTTTCTCCTGAGATCATAAGCAAGAGGCTCCTGTTTACTCAAGGTTCCTAAATTCATAGAAAAGGTCAAATTACAGGTGGCATAAATGAAGATTTTGCAAGGTGGATACATATCTGATCAAGTTTTAAGTTTATTTAATCAGGTTTTGTTACTAGTTTTAGGAAGAAGGGATTTATTCTATTATACCCACTCTCTTTTTCTCTTTCATTCCCTAAGTGTTTGGCACATTGTTAGATACCCAATAAATTTGGTTGTTGATGAAATCAGTTTCAGTTGATTTTGTTTAAATAAGGATTGGAAGTGTGTGGGTGTGTGTGCATGTATCTTTCTTTCAATGGTACTATTCACTGTTAAGCTTGCCTGTGGATCTCCTCTATTTTCACTTCCCCTTAGTAGTAATAGCTCCTTCCTCTAGTGCCCTGTTAGTAGAGACACTTGATCGTCATGGTTATCTATCTATATATCCTGCCTTTCCCCAGTTCTCTTTTGTCTAACCAAGGCTTCAGAAATAATAGTGAGAGGATGAAAGTGGGTGCGAATTGGGACTCAGAGATATGCAAGTCTAGTTTTGCTATTAGGGCACTGGAAAGAAAGAACTTTTGAACAGCCACACAAAGAAAAGGAAAAGTCAGCAGGGAGTCAAGCTTTCAGGCTCATTGTCAAACTGAGAAGCAGGGAGTAAGAAAAGGTTGGGCAAATAGGTCTGGTCAATCTCTAACAAAATGAAAAACAGCAGCAAAGATAGTAGGAGGTTTAGATGCAATGCTGCCAAGTGAGAGGCACATAAATTTCCAGAAGAGTCATGTAAAATTAAAATTGACTGGGCAAAGTGACCCATCACTTGTCACTGAATTCTCCCTTTTAGCTACAGAGGATCAGAAGATGGGCTGTTTTATCAGTCCAGTGGGATTTCCTACCTCTGTAGTACTGGAATAGTGACCACAGAAGACCCCAGAGTATACTTTTAAAGTCAACGAGATGCTGGGATGTTCTTGCTCAGCT